TGGATCCATTCCATAATAAGCTACTTAGCACCTGGGTTATATTATGGTATGTAGACAATGGAACCCAAGAAGAACTGAGGAAGAATAAGAGTAATCATGAAAATCAGAAACTATTTTAAAATATCAAAAATATCTGTATACAAACCAAATTTAAATTGTTTGCTCATTTAAGATATGGCTGACCAATCAGTAAATCTTTCAGAGTTAATTTCTCTTCAGACAGGTTTTCCCTGAAATCCAACAATCAATTTATTTTCACACACACACGCACAAATGTGGGGTCAGTTTCTAATCAATTCTGGTTTTCTCAAAGAGAAATTCAAGAAGGGCTGGAAAGGGAGGTTATAAAAAAATTCAAAATTTCACTCCATAGAGGCAGGCAAAGAAAAAATGAGGGGGGGGAAGACAAACTTCTCTTTTAAAAGAGAAAAAGAAGATAAGAGGAATCAATGGCCATATCTAAAAAAAGTGAAGTTTGGAAGAAGAAATCCCTCCCCCCATAACAACATAATTTTAGAGAAGATTCCCCACACACACACACACAAAGGACAGAGAAGCACATACATCTCTAATCCTTCCTTATATTATAAAAGCCACTTGGGGTGGCATCGTTCTATACACACCAAAACCCGTTGGCCGCATGAACTGCCAGTCAGTGGGGGGCAGAGTCCTGCCCACAGAGGCCCCCGCCAGCCTCTCGCTCTCAGTTTATGCCAAGACGCCCAATGGGATGGACCCTCCGGTGGGCACAGGCACTGAGAAACACACATCAACAAGATGCACCCTCCGCCGGCCGCAGGCAGAGACATGCACATATCTTGTGTTCCAATTCACCCAGCGGGAGCCAGGAGGACGGCCTTGGCTGGCCTTGCTGTTGCCTGCTGGCTCCCTCCAGCTCCAGCCCCAGCTTGAACTCACCTGGCCTGCACCACCACCACCACTGCCTCCACCCACACCTCCCTCCCCAGACTCCGGCCGTGGCCTCTTCATGCCTCTCTCCTGCAGCCGCGCAATGGTGCGAGGGCTGTGGAGAGCTGGGCCCTGGATGGAGGCAGGTGGAAGAGGGAGACATGCCAAAAACGCCACCGCCTGCCTTGCTGTGGACTCCTCTCTGTCGCCGCCTCTGCTCAGCAGCAGCACGCGGATTCTGGTGGGCGGGGAGGGAAGGGGAGAGGGAAAGCCCCAGGGACAGCACATACCACTCAGGGATGCCACCAAGGGCAGGAGCCCAGCAGGATGGCCAGGTGGTGCTGGGGGGAGCGGAGAGGGTTGCGACCCCAAAGGAAGATGCTCCAGAGAAATTGGTCCAGGGGATGAGGGACAGACTGTGGGACGGAGGGAGGAGTTGGTGGCCAGCCCCCTGTGTGCTCAGAGACTGCCCAGGCATGGAGCCACTGCCGGGCCATTGCCACAGTACAGCACCCCCGGGGTCTGTGGAGCAACTACCAAGTGGGGGATCAGTGGAGGGGAGATGCCCCCCCCCCCGTCTAGAGATCATTGCATTGTTGCTGCAGTGGGCCTTGCTCCTAGTATTAAATAATGAATAGGATCCAGCCTGGTTTTTCCCCCCACTTCACTCAGTCTTGCCTAATTCTCCTCATTATTACCATCCATATCCCACATGACTTTTGTCCACACAGATCACAGTGTCCCCACCATTTTGAGGTTGGTCAAAGGGAAACCTCATCTCTTTTTTTCACCAGCAGTAAAGCTGGTTAGATACCCAAACATAAGTCTTCAATCATCCATATTTATTTGGTGAAAAAGAGATCTTCTTAAACTCTGAGAATTATTTCTGAGGAGAGGTGTATAAGATTGCAATTCAAAGTAATCTGTAAATGTTGTCCTAAACCTTTAAGCAATGATTATGGAAACTATGATAAGGCAATCAGAAAGGTTTAACAGAAATAGTCATCATGTTGTCAAGAACTGATTTTGTCAGCCATTAAATGTGATTGTCCAAAACTCTAAGAGTCTGAGTTATTTCTGTCACCTTTATACAGAGTCACTGTTATCTTTCCTTTCTGGTTTATTTCAGCCTCCATGAAATACTTATCTCCTGGTTTATTTCAGCCTCCATGAAATACTTATCTCTCATTGAAGTTCACCTCTTTGCAAAGAGAACTTTCTTAAGGGCTGTTTTCACGTCCTTGTTCCTGAGGCTGTATATAATAGGATTTAAGACTGGCGTAACCAAGCAGTAGAACACAGCCACTAACTGGTCCATATTGAAGGAAAGGTTTCGGGTGGGCCTGACATATATGAACATCATTGTTCCATAGAAAATACCAACCACTGTCAAGTGAGAGGCAAAAGTGGAGAAGGCCTTTTTGCGTCCAGCTGGAGATGGGATGCGCAGAACAGTGATAATGATGGCAACATAAGAAACTATAGTTATTGTGAAAGAGCCAACAAGGATAAATGAGCAGATGAAGAAACTCAGCATCTCGTTCAATTGGGTCCTATTGCAGACCAGCCTCAACAAAGGCAAGATGTCGCAAAAGAAGTGATCCACCACATTGCTGCCACAGTAGTTGAGCCGAGAGATAAGAATCACTGGTATTAATGGCAGGACCAAACCAATGATCCAGCACCAGGCAGTAAGTTGAATATAAACAGTACTACTCATAATGGTGTTATACCTCAGAGGGGATCGTATAGCCACATACCTATCATATGCCATAGCAGCTAAAAGTAGGCATTCAACACCGCCAAGACCGTGGAAAAAATATATCTGGGCAAGACAATTGTTGAAGGATACAATATTCTTTTCCCTCATGAGGTCAACCAGCATTGTTGGGACTGTGACTGAGGTAAAACAGATCTCCAGAAAGGAAAAGTTGCCCAGAAAGTAGTACATGGGTGTATGGAGAGAGGGTTCATATCTGGTGATAAAGACTATGACCATATTCCCTATTAGCGATAGTGTGTACATTATTGAGACCAGAACAAATAACGGTACTCTTATCTTTTGCAGGGTGGGGAACCCTGTGATAATGAATTCATTCACTCTCGTATGGTTTGAAAGATCCATCTTCCAATTGGTTCTTTACCTGGAAAGGAGAAAAAGAAATTTTAAATGATAGTTGTTGGCCCTAGTGAATACATTCTGAGTATTTTATATGATTTTTCAGTAGGAATAGTTTGACAGACTAATCTAAAAGTCTCCAATTGAGCAAAGATTTCCAATAAAATATTCGGGAAAGCTAGTCCTATGCATTATGTATTTTACAACATAAAATAAAGATTATTATGTTTTCAAGCAATAGTAGCCAGAGGAAAAGGAACTTTGTA